ATTGATTGATTCGCGGGGAAGGGGTCGCCCTTCCTCCCCCCACATGCATACACACACACACAAACGAAAAAATAAAAATTTCCCTTTTTTTTATTTACTTTTGATCAAAATACATTTTTTTTGGTTTTCTATTTTTTAAAAATAAGAAAACACTTTATAATCCAAAAAACAAAATACGGCGTTGTAGGTCTCTTCAAACCCTACAACCCCCCATTTTTTTTTTTTTTTGGGCCTATTATTTTTTTTTTTTTAAATGTGTGAAATTCTCGGCCGCACCCAACCGTGGGTCCAACCTCAGCGGTTGGGATCCCGACCGCGGGCCGAGATGGACCCTGCGGTCATGACCGCGGGGGAAACATAGGTCACTACTGCTCACCGTCACTGTTCCGCACCTGATTTTCCATATCCAATTTGCTTTCCGTGTATTTTTTATTTATTTTTGGCCTGTATGTGACATTTTTTCGCTATTTCAAATTGCAATCCACCAGCCAGTCCATTGCCATTTTCTTTTCTTTTTTCTTTGTGTTGTTCGCCTGTTTTCTTTTCTTCTGCTGGGCCACATAAATGCCAGAGGCGGGGGGAGGGCGGGGGGGGGGGGGGGGGGGGGGGGGGGGGTGGAGGGCACGGCGTGTCCGCATGGTTCATGAAAGAAGAATCGCGCTCTGCAGAGTCTGCAGACACAAAGTCGGCTCCGTAACCTACTCCCCAAAAAAACGAAAACATCGCACCCGCGCTGCTGTTTATAATTTTCATCTGTGGCGCCCGACCTCCGAGTTCGAATCCTGACCAAATGGGGTCCAAATTCGAATGCAGGCCCCATATAATTTTCATCTGTGGCGCCCGACCTCCAAATTCGACTTCTGAGGCCCACGGCCTCGTATATGAGAAAGGTAGTGGTGGTTTTACGCAGCAACTTTATGACCATGTAAGCACTTGGGCGCCGGGAATGAGGTCGCCTTGTTTCGCTTTTAAATTTTAATTTGGAAAAGAGTGATGCGATCATTGTGATGCTTTTATAATACAGGAAGTGGACGCATTTAGACCTCTTGTTTATGATATAATTAATCGGGGAATGATTTTTTTTTTTTTTTTTTGAATTTGAATTGCTGTCATATTCCAGGGCATTTGCTGGCATCGGCAAGCATGGACCAGACAGTTCGCATTTGGAACGTCTGGGGGGATGATGAGGCTTCGCAGTGTGTGCGGACGATTGCTGGCCACAACGGCGCCGTGAAAGATGTCCAGTGGTCGCCTGCAGACCCCCATTTGGTGCTTTCGGGGGGGTTCGATACCTGCATGAGACTGACCGACGTCGAGACAGGGCAGTGCGTGCGAACCTTCCTTACCGAGGATTTTGTAAATGCGGTGAAGTTTCATCCGACAGAACCGCATCTCTTCCTGTCGGGGGGCGCCAAGGCCATCCTAAGGTGTTGGGACGTCCGCAGCAACGACAGGAAAGGCGGAGACGAGTCTGGTTCAAAGATGGTCCGCGTTCTCGGCGGGATGGGCGGCCAGCCCCGAGATCGAGGACCGAAAGTTTTTCCAAAACTTATGGGACAGGTGCTCGACTTGGACTTCCACAGGGACGGAAAAGAGTTCATCGCGACGTACGATGTTGCGAGAAGGAACACGCTGGACAAAGCCGTTGTCGTGTGGGGTTTCGACCTGGGCGTGATTTTATCCAACCAAGTGTACCTGGAGGGGTACACGTGTCCCTGCGTGAGGTACCATCCGACGCAGGAAAGCTTCGTGGCCCAGTCGAATGCGGATTGCATCTCGGTATTTTCAGCACGAGCACCGTACAAGAGGAACTCGCACCGAAGGTTGCAAGGACACTCCGTTGCGGGATATCGGGTGCAGTGCAACTTCAGTCCAGATGGAGAGTTGCTTGTGACCGGGTCTGCCGATGGAAGTGTCCATTTTTACAGGTATTCTACAGGAAAGGCCCTTAGGGCCCTCCAAGCCCACTCCATGGTTTGTACTGATGCTGTCTATCATCCACTGCTTCCGTCCATCATAGCCACCTGTAGCTGGGATGGCGTAGTTTCTGTGTTTGAGTGAAAGCCACATACTTTCACACACACACTCATTCTTATGGATTCACGTTTGAGAGAGAGAGAGAGAGAGAGAGAGAGAGAGAGAGAGAGAGAGAGAGAGAGAGAGAGAGAGAGAGAGAGAGAGNGAGAGAGAGAGAGAGAGAGAGAGAGAGAGAGAGAGAGAGAGAGAGAGAGAGAGAGAGAGAGAGAGAGAGGTCGCTGAACCAACGAGGAGAGAAAAGCGTCATTTTAGTGGGTGTATGAGAATTTGGACAGAAACGCAAGGTCTGCAATGACCAAGGACTAGCAAAATTTGACGAGTCGATGCCCATCTTCGTGCCACGGGATGTGCCAGTCCAGTCGGCGTGGTTCCGATTTCTGCCGGTGCGACCTTCTGGAGGAGTTTTCGCAACAGATTGAAGGTACCTTGCAGGATAGAATGGGTGTGTGCGACTTAACGAAGCCAACACTTCACTTGCCATTTAGCCATCGAATGAAGCAGACGCTGAGATGTGATAGGGTCGTCGCCAGCTCATCACATAGGGTCGTCGCCAGCTCATCACATAGGGTCGTCGCCAGCTCATCACATAGGGTCATCGCCAGCTCATCACAGGTTGACTCTGGGGGAAAATATATAAGTTCTGTATCGATGAATGAAAGGTGCTTCGAAGTCAAGTTATGGCCAGGCCTGGATGAACCTGACTGCAATTACGGCGAGAGGTGGATGATTATAACTCTGGCTGGAAGGACTTTTCTAAATGTATCTGACTGCAATTACAGCGAGATATGGATGAATATGACTGCAATCGCATGCAGAGCAGCTAAGTAGAAAAAGTCTTAGTGCGTGTGTCCCCCTTAGTCATATTGGAGTAATCCTTTTTTGTAGCCACCGGAACTTGTGAACGGAATGTGTGCAGGTGGAAAAACCGTCCTCACACGTGTGAATTTAACCTCTGCGGGTGTCCAAGTGAGCCTTCGCGACATCCGTTGTTAACATCGGAACGATACAGAGAATCAAGATTCGCATGACCCCTGCGCTTTCAAGGATGACAAGCATAAATCGAGAAATGGTCCACACGTGCAAACAGTCTGTTCGATACAGTCATGATCTTTTTTTGAGTGTATAGCGAATATGACAACAACACACACACACTCTGCTGGTGGAGGAGACGTAATGGGATAAAAGTTCATAAAACTTGTTAAAACTAATAAAAAGCTTTTTGATAAGTCGAAGTCGAAATTAGGTCATCCTTGTGTGCGTGTGTGGAAAACTGTAAAACTTGCTAAAAAGGACACAGCACAGACGCTGGACCCGTTTTCCAGCAGGTGATGCTCCTGAGTCCCCACCAATAGATGGAGCCTACCCCCAGATGCTAGTGGTGTCTGCTCTTATCAGCACCACTAGCACTGGCGGGGGCGTGTTTTTTTCGGGGGGGGAAAAAAAAGATGAACAGTAGAACTGTACCATCCATAACTTTTTAAAAATTTTATGTATTTTTGGATGGAATTGCAGCCAGATACATCCAGGGATGGCCGTGAACGCAGTCAGATACATTTGAGATGCTGCTAGTGTGAGTATGCCGTAATTTAGCTTTCAAATTTCAAAATGCATTTCCAAAAATCCGAAGTCGAAAAATGCAGTCGAGTCACTGACTGAGTTTCAAATGGACAGTTGAAATTTGAAACTCGGGTCAGCACAAGAAATGCGCGGCGTGCAGTTATGAACTGCAGTCTGGTCATGCGGCTGGTTATGGCTGTATCAGACCGGAAAGGTTGCTTGTATACATTCGTTATTGGGGTGCGTTTGCTCGGGGGGAGGACGGTAGCGCACTTTACCGTTTCTCCCCCAACACACAACACATCCTGATTTGGGCTGTACTAGGCCGGAAAGATGGCTTGTATACATTCGTTATCAGGTTTCATTGTTTTGTGGGTGTGGTGTCCGTGAGCGCTGCAGTCTTCCCCATGAACACAACGCACCCTGAGAATGAATGTATACGACCACCTTTCCGGTACAGCCATAATTTGGGCCCTAAAGGGCCTTTGTATTTGACTGGCCGCTGACCAAAAAAGAGAAGATTGCCATGTTTGACAACGACTTTTTAGCCATCTTTCCAGAAATCTTTCTTATAAATGCCACTATCTTATTCCTTATCTATGGAGTGATGTGTTTAGGGGAGGACGGGAGAGAGAGAGAGAGAGAGAGAGAGAGAGAGAGAGAGAGAGAGAGAGAGAGAGACCCTGATAACGAATGTGTAGAGCGATCTTTCCAGTACGGTGCAGCCATAATGGGTGTGTTCGCAGGAAGATGCTCTCTCTCTCTCTCTCTCTCTCTCTCTCTCTCTCTCTCTCTCTCTCTCTCTCTCTCTCTCTCTCTCTCTCATGGCATGCGGATGATAATATTGTGTGCCCTAGACAAGTGATCTTTCTGGTCGGCTACAGGCATGATGAGCCCCTCCGACTACACAACACTGCATGCATTTGGGCGCTTTACAGACCCCGTGCATTCACAATGTTGGGCTCGTCCGAATGCACCCGCTCAAAAAGGCATCGAATGCATGTAGTGTTGTGTAGTGGAGCAAGGCCCAAAGAGGTTGGGTACCAGCCATAATGGGCCATGTGACCGGACTTCATTTTACGACCCCACACGGCGACCATTTTGTTGGCCCAAGTTTCGGCTCCATTTGGAACTTGGGCGGGCAGTGAGTGTCAGTCAGTGACGCCACTGCATTTTCCGAGTTTAAATTGCATTTTGAAAAACAAAAACTATATCGTGACTCCTCTGTAGTTGCCATTTTTTTTTCTTTTGTCAAGTTTTTTGTCACCCCATTCCCCACTTCTTTTTTCGTTTTTCAACATTTTTGACAAGCAGCGTTTTCTTTTCTCTTTTTCTTTTTTTTTCTTGTGCAGGGGCCATGCTAATCTTCTCTGTATCGTTCCAATTTTAACGGATGTCCTGTAGGACTAACAAGCAGCCTTTTCCTTTTGGCACAAGCATCCCTTTTTTTTTTTTTTTTTTTTTTTTAAAAAAAAATTTCTTGGGGTAAAAAACAGGAAAGGGGGGCCGGGGGGGGCTTTCAAGGGGGAAATTTGGGGAAATAAAAAAAAAAAAAAAAAAAAAAAAAAAAAAAAAAAAAAAAAAAAAAAAAACATGACAGCTCTTCCTGCTGAGGAGATCTGCCTGTCAAAAAAAAAAGGATGCTAGTGCCAAAAAAGTTTGAAAAACAGAAAAAAAGAAGCGGGGGATGGCATTGCAAACCTCACAGTCCAACTGTCTCACCTTGGTTCTGTTAACCGCAGGGCTGTTACTCGTTGTTTTGTTTTTCTGCAGCGGTACCACGATTGGAGTTACCCGACTGAATTTTTTTTTTTTTTTTTTTTTTATTCATCGTGAATTCTTTTGCTATCTGGCGCTTGTGGTCCCGGCTTTTGCTGTTTACTGTTGCGACTCTGACTTTTGTGTTTTTTTTCTTTTTTTCTGCTTTTGAAATGGCCCTGTGGATATCTGACCCGATTCTTATTCTTCTTGAATCTTGAATGAATGGCAACAAAGAGAGACCAAGCGTCCTTTTTGTTTTTTTGCTTTTGCTTTTTGTTTTCAGAAGAGCAACAACGTTGAGGTATTATCCAAAGAAAAAAAGAAAAAAAAGAAAGATATTATCTGATTCATTGAACTGACCAGCCCCAGGTAATTTGGAACGATTCGATTTCATTCATTTGGCTGGTTTGCCTGGATTCGAACTCGGGTTTGTATTTCAACAGCTCATGGATGTGCCAGCAAAGCCCAGCATCCCTGTTTTAGAGCCAGACCCAGAGGTCTCTTCTCAGTAATCGCGTATTCTTTTTGTAACCCCCGATGTTATCCCAACCACCCACTTAAACCACCAGTACGTGGCCCAGCTATCGCCCCCGGAAGAAAATAGAGTAGTAACGTTTCTAGTTGGATGAATTTGGGCGCTCCTGTAGTGGCCCGTACGTTTCCTAAAATCACGTAGCGTTAACGGGCACGACTTTAGGAAGTACTGGTGGTGGTTTAACCCATGTCATCTCAGTCCAGCAATGGTCACCATCCTCAGCCACCATCTCCAACACGGCTACGACAGTTCGACTTCACCGCCGACCACCATCCAAGAGGAGACTGAAGTCAACAAGCTTGCTCCTCCAGGTGCGGGCGGACTATCCGCCTCCTAAATTCAGAACACCCCAGCTGCGGCAAGACTTTTATTGCAAAGCAGCCAGCATCGCTAAATTAATGCTTACGTGCCCCGAAAACCCCGCGCCGCCGACCTTCCATGGGGAGTGCAGTTATACTGCCGCTTCAGAGCCTCCCGGGGTCATTATTGACTCTCGCCAACCCCGGGGGCCAAGTGCCACTAGCAGCGTTGAGCTACCTCAACGACTGAATCTGGATCTGGACGTGTTTGTGGAGACATGCAGTTCAGGAAACTCAACACCATTTCTGCACATCTCCACAATAACGTCCCGATTCAGGCGTTGAGGTAGCTCAACGATGCTAGTGGGACTTGGCCCCTGGAGTATTTTCCCTTCTCCTCGAACACCACATGAAGGTTCTGGGCTATTTTCTTTTTCTTTTTCATTTTCTTTTTCTTTTTCATTTTCTTTTTCTTTTTCATTTTCTTTTTTCTTTTTCTTTTTCTTTTCATGGGATGTGACGAGTCCAAGCAAGTTGAACGTAAATGTGTTTTCTTCAGAAAAGACACCCCCCCAAGAAACAAATCAAGAAAAAAAACAAAAAAAAAACACTCAAGAAACAAATCCTTCGAGACGACATGCTCCTCCCGACTCGGACTCCAGTTAGACTTGTAACCATCAAGGCACCGGCTCGATGGAAGCTGACTCTAGAATGATCCCTCTAGGACTGTCGTCCCTCTGGAATGCCCATGGACCGCCATTTTTATCACATGTCCATTGGGATGCCCTTTTTCAAAACTGCCCCCCTCTTCTGGCAAGGCTATTGCCCAAAGACCTACTGTCTCTTCTGGCCGCTGTCATAGATGATGAAACCATATCCTTTTGGCCACCATCTGCGAACTTCAACGCGCTACTCCACCCATCCCTCCCATGTTCTAGCAAGGCTTAGTAATATGCCCAAAGAGCCACCATCGCCTCTGACCAGCCATAAAACCACCCTCTTGCTGACCGTCCACACAGGTGCCACTCTGTCCATCCCTCCACCGTACCGGCAAGGCTTATGCCCAAAGAGCCACCATCTCTTCTGGCACCACAATGCCATAAAACCACCCTCTTGGCGATCATCCGTGGGGGTGCCGCTCCACCCATCCCTCTGCCGTTCTGGCAAGGCTTATGCCCAACAAGCTACCATCTCTTCTGGCCCCATAAAACCACCTTCTTGGCGACCATCCAGGCAGGCACCACTCCACCCATCCCTCTCCTGTTCTTACAAAAGCCACCACGATCTCTTCTGGCCGCTGTGCCATAAAACCACCCTCAGGATCATCCTGGCAGGTGCCCCCCCCCCCTCCCTTCCGTTCTGGCACGGCTTAAGCCCAAAGAACCACCATCTCTTCTAGCCGCTGTGCCATAAAGCCACCCTCCTGGTCACCATCCCCACAGGTGCCACTCTACCCATCCCTCCCCCATTTTTGGCAAGGCTAATGCACCTTTTCTGGTCGCTTCGCCATAAAACCGCCCTATTGGCGACCATCCATGAAGGCGGCACTCCATCCATCCCTCCCCTGTTCTGGTGACCAAAAAGCTACTCTTTCGACCACGATGCGAGAAAACCACCCTCTTGGGCACCATCTGTGAAGGCGCTACTCCACCCATCTCACAAACCCAACATCCGTGGGGACTGAACCTCGCCAGGAATTAAACCGCCACAGCAAGCATAGAGGGTTGCATCCTTAGGGAATCCAATCATCTTATCCCCATAAACCTCTCTTCCCCCATTTCGGCTAGACTTCTACAGAGCCGTCATCCCCATGGTAGTTGTATCCTACAACAAACCATTTGCCCCTCCAAAACTGAAAAAATGGCACTCCTGTAAGTGCCACACAATTCAAAGAAGAGAGAGAGAGAGAGAGAGAGAGAGAGAGAGAGAGAGAGAGAGAGAGAGAGAGAGAGAGAGAGAGAGAGAGAG